GCCACATCTTGTCAACTTCTTCATCACTGAAGCGGTGACTTGGACCTGGAGCAGCAGTAGACGGTGCAGCCATAGGCAAAGCGGGCTCTCTTGAAGTGGTCGCACGCACAGCGTCCCGTGGAACGGTAGCAGGCGACTCCCCGCCTAGGGCACGGTGTGAGACCGTGTCGTGCAGCGAGCCAGAAGGTGCGGCCTGACTAGCGCCTTGTGCCCTTCCCTTGGTACGCAAAAGAGCCACGACTCCCGGAGAAAGCGGGCTTCGAAGTGTGCTTTGCGATGTTCGAGGCATTTTTGACCTGTCCACATCGAGCTCTTGCGCTGGTCTCTTGGTTGCCGAACGCCACGCGGCACCGGCGAGGGTGTGCTGCATCGGGACGTCGTGTAGACTGTCATGGGCCAAGTTTTGGAGCGTAGCAGGAGCAGGTAAAGGTGTCGTAGGTGCATGTGTGTGCGCATCGCCGTGCACCACCCGCCCTTGGTCCGGAGCAGCCGTGGGAGAAAGACGACTCTGGGCGTCTTTCAACGCATGCGCACGCGTGGAAGAGTTCGCATGATCGGCATCGTGTTGCGCAAACTCCTTGGCGGGCGTAGCAAAACGTTCCTCGACGAGTTTCCGTGCAAGTTCAGGATGATGTTGCTGCACAAAAGCAGGCAACTCCATCCTGTACCTTCCCGGCGCTTCTGCAAACCGCAGCAATCTCTCGGCAACGCTCGGATGAGCTTTGTGCGCTAGCGCCAACAGCTCGGCCGAAGGTCGTGGACGAGGGTTGCGATTTTGCGTGTCAGATGATTTGTCGGATGAAGTGCGCGACGATGCTGCGCTATCCGACCTTTCACTGGTGCTACCCAGACTCTCGGACGGAGGCTGCTGAAGGCGATGCGCGTGCTCGGCCGCAGGAGCCTCTTTGTTGCTGCGCACAGGCATGGGCACATTTTCTCGCTCATTCTCAAGCATGTGCACATCGGCCGGCGGCGTTTGGTTTGCCTGAGCTCCTCTGCCGGCGGAGCGAACAGAACCTGGCGAAGCTTGAAGCGCGGTCCTTTGCGCCTTGTTGCTCGTTGCGGCTTCTTCTCCAATATGAGCAGGCCGTGCTTCTCCCAATAGCCGCTTGGACGAGGGATGGATGCGTGGCGGAGAAGTGTTGAAGCCCTCAGCTGGCGTCGGACGCGCCTCTGCATAAGCCACGTGTCGAGGTGTCGAATGCTTTGCATAGACGCTGTGAAGGTCGGGCAGACCAGTCGTGTGCCCTTCACCTAGAGCCTGCAAAGTCGCAAGTGGCGATCGAAGGATGAGAGAAGGCCTCATCCACATCCGTGTGATCATCAATGCGGACGTAAACTCACCTCTGCTCTCACATTCCTGAGCGGTCCATCATGTCCGACCTTTGCAGCTTTTTCCCACGCCTTGACATGTTCTCCGACGCTGGGTCTAGCTTTCCAAACGACCGTTTGCTTGCCATCGTCGGAAGAGTACGTGTGCGAGGCCCAGCGCCAATACTTTTCCACCTTGTCCGGTCGATGAGATGGAGGATCACTTGTCAGAGACAGACGTGAGACGGCTCGATGGAGTGCAGGCTCAGAGCGTGCCGTGCCCTCGATAGCGCCGAGAAATTCTTGTCCTGCTCTTTTTGAAAGAATGCTGAGATGCGCATCGATTGCTGCTCTGCTCTGCGCCGCTGCCAGACAGAGCCAAGCGAGCACAAAGACGCGCGAGATGACGCGCATGTCGAACATCGCTGATTGGCTTGTGCGCCCGCGCCCGCGCCCGCGTCCACGCCAGAGCTTTCTTTTGAGCAGGGTCGAGCTCGACCGAGAGACCGGCTCGACGGTCAGATCCGACGACGTGCACGAGGATACGATCAGAGATCAGCCCCGTGATCAAGCGAGGTAGACGAGAGGTGCAAAGGGAAGAAAAAGGTGGTGGAGTGGCATAGCCTGACCAGCACGCTGTGTACTCCTTATCTTTAGCAAGGAGCGGTGTAAAAAGCCTTTCGACCTCGTCTTCCCCGAGCTTGATTTGTCCAGCTCAGAGGATTAGCAAGACGAGCACAGGTCGGATGTAGTGCTGATGACGGTCGTGAAGATCGTGAAGAAGAAAAGATCTGGACTAAGGCAAGTCGGCTGAATCTCTTTCTTTTTCGCCGATGGCACCGGCGTGACAATTGGGGGATGCGTGGGGGCATCCGAGATCCGAGCGACGACGAGTGGCAACGACATTCTTCAACACATTACACCGAAGTTCCAAAAGCCTCGCAGCGCCCTTCAAAGGCGCATTGGGTCCAGGAAGAGAGAAGACTTGCGAAAAGAACCAAGATGAGGGGTATTTTGTCCGTGCCCTCAAAACACCTCATGCTTTTCTTTTTCGCCACTCACATTCAAATTTGCAACATTTCGCCTCTTGACCGCGAGGAGAGAAAGCAAGAAGACTCGACGCCGCACGTTTCGCTTAATTGATGCCTTGAGGGCGCTACGAGGTGCGTTGACAAGTCGACCGCTTGGCGTTCCGTGATCGTCTCGCTAAATGCGTCTCATTTCGCCACCGCGCCCGTGCGGAACTCTGCGCTGAGCTTAGCTCTAGTCGACGATAGGAATCTGATCTTTCTTTACAAAAAGATCTGAAATGATCAGCTTTCTACGTTTGACTTTGTGCGCCGCTTGCGTCGTCGTACCTGCCTTGAATGCTCGAGTAGAGTGTTCGCACAGCATCCGAATGGCACGGACCTCTGCATCTGCTGGGTGCACAGCAGCATCCAACCATCGTCCAGCCCAGCGTGCACATCTTGCCCGCGGCACTACGCACGACGCGCGACGATACAGGTGGCAAGCGCACCCCAAAAAGGCGGGGCATTCCGATTGCGCGCAACGCCCCCACCCACCGCACCGCACCGCACCGCACCGCAGCGCGCCGCAGACGCGCAGACGAAAGCGGGGGGCTCGATTGCAATGCGACTCTTGACTCACACTGGAGCAGCCAAGCATGCAGATGTACAGCCAGCCGTTCAAATGCGCCCCCGCACGTACGCTCGTCGGCGTCGATGTTGGCATCATGCAGCGCCGACCGCAATGCGTGAATGCGTGCCGTGCCGTGCCGCCTCGTACAGTATTGATCCGCTCCGATTGTTTTGCCCGCCTTTGTGATGATGCAGTCAGCGGGGGAGTGTGCTGGTGGGAGTAGGCTACCTGACCTGCTGATGGGTAACGTCGTCTGGCGAAACGACCGAAACTTCGTGCGCGGGCCTTTTTTGTCCCCCCTCCGTTGTTTGCCACCCCGCTCGAACTGAACATCTCAAAGCGTAAAGGTCTTTCGGACCACTTGCTCTGATTTTGCGCGTAAAAGTCCCCCGACGCCCATCGGCACGCGCCGACGAGAGAATGTGCGTATTTGCGTGCGCGAGGGGCGAGGGGGCGTTGGGTTGGGAATTTTTTTCGCTTGCGCTCCAAGTTCCCATCCTCCGAGCAACAAAGTCGAGTTGAGAAAGTCAGCGCGGCAAACAACAGGGTTGATGGTGTCTCTGATGGCCTTTCAGAGGGGGCACGCTATAGCTTTCGCTGCGGAGGTGTTGTTGTACGGAACAGGGAAGCGGAAAGAAAGGGCAAAGGGGGGCCCCCCGTGTGTTGATGTTTGGCACGCAGCACAGCACGATCCTGTGCAGACTCGACTCGACGCTCGCTCGCCCTCTTGCTCAGCCTTGAAATTCCTTCGAAACGCCTTCCCCATCCCTTTGCCGCTGGGTCACGCGACGGGTTTTCTACCAAAAGAGTCAGTCGTACCTAGCTCATTCACGAGTGTCCCCGCTGCAGTGGTCCTCAAAAGATCCGCGCGTGCGAGCTTAGAGTCACAACAGCCGTGAGCGTGAGTCATGGTCAAACAAAAGTATATAGAAGAGACGCTTGACTCCTAGTGTGAGTGTCACGTGCCGCGCACGCGCACGCGCACGCGCACGCCCACGCCACATGCAGATAAGTCATCCACATACCTGAGATCCCTCTCTCTTCTACCTCTTCAATCGCGAATGCATCCATCTCTCGCGCCCCTCAAACCTTGGGTTTCTGCTCACTTTCTTGCCGAGTCGCTTCTGAACAACCCACATGGGCAGTGCAGCATTCGGGGGGGATCACGTGAACGCTTTCTCGCATCGGTCGATCGCACCGGTCCGAATTTGAATGTTGCGTGGGGGGGGGAGTGGGGTGCGAGTTGTGCGCGCTCTCGCGAGAGTTGCAAGACTCTGAGCGCCCTTCACGATGCGGAGAAGCTAAGCTGGTCCTGTCAGCCTTTGAGACGTCAGAATTGAGGGATATGGGATGAGAGTGCATGGATAGACGCATGGAGGGGAGGATCGGATGGGCGTGGGGAAGCGTAGAGTAATTGCTCCTCGAAGTCCAATTCAAGCATCGATGGGAATGGCTTTCGTAGCAATGCCCGGCCGACCCTTCCCCCATCCCGAGTGTCGCCATTCGAATTTCCGAAATTCAAATTCAATCTGCGCGGCGGGGTTGCTTGAAGATTTCAAGATATGTACCCCTGCGAGGTTGCGATTGCGAGCGCCCCTCCATGGAAGAGCTTCGTCTTGAAAACGTGATCGATGACTGGTGAGTCGTGAGTGAAGGACTGTTTGACGCGCGCGCCGCAAAGAGTTCTCTTCAGCACAGCAGCTTTCAATCAATTTGAAATCGTGATTCGTGAATCGTGAATCGTGAATCGTGAGTGCGCTCACAAGTCGAGAATCCTGGCGCGCACGTTACGTTCATCGAGCTTGTGGAGGAGCAACACGTGACAGTCGTAACTACGATGCGGTTGCATTATTTGCTCATATCGCGCGCGCACACGGATCATGCCAGATTCGCCTTCACGTGCGTATAGCGCTTGCATGCATGCATGCATGGCTGGGTAATCATGAATCACGTGAATGCGCAGGTGATGCGGGGCTTAGTAATGAGTCACGATCGAGTTGCCTTGGCTACGCTCAATCAGCTTGCTATTCAGCCTTGCGCGTTCTCCCTTGCTATTCCACCATTGCACAACAAAACAAAGCATCCATCCAACGCTTCCACCCCCCTCCCGCGTGCACCCCTGCGTGCAATTCCGCCTCCGCAGCATGTTGCCTGTTCGCTCAAGCACCACACTCTCCCTGCCAGCGAAAGCAAGCCGAACACTTGCTCTTCGACGGGCCGCACGCTTCTCATCATCCTCCCCCTCCTCCTCCTCCTCCACCTCCTCTGCCAATCTGTACGCGCACATGCCAAAGAGCGGCACGATGTTATGCACAGTTGCTGCTGCCAGACGCTCTTCTCTTGCGCTCAGTGTTGGTCAGGCACCGACCGGTGCGAGGGCCGTGCATGGCGCTGTCAGGATGGAGGAGAGGATGATGCAGGGATGTGGTAGGATGCTTGCTGATACAAAGTATGCCCGACCAACTCGCACAGATCTTGCCTTTGGAGCGCAGCGCAGCGCATCGCGCGTCGATCTGTCCACCGCCACGCATCAGCGTCGAACGTACAGCAGCGGCAGCAGGAGGAGCAGGAGCAGGAGCGGCGGCGAGGGCGATGCGCGCTCTTACGCACTCGACGCACGTACGCTGCTGCTCTCGCTCGCGCTAACGTTCGGCATCTCCCTCACCTTTTTCCATTCCCTCTTCCTCGATGCTCCACCGCACACCGCCTCTGATGCGGCGGCGGCGGCGGCTAGGATCGATGGAGGGTATGGCACGCTTGATGCAGATGCAGAGGGGCAGAGTAGGGATGCGCAAGAGGTGGAGAAGAGTCAGCAGGAGTTGATGAGGGATAGAGCGGATAGGTTGGGCGTTCATGCTTGGGGTGGTAATCGGTGAGTAGCGGGGCACTGGCGTGGTGGCGGAGGGAGAGGGAGACATGGAGACCAGGTTCAAGGCGCGCGTGCTAACCTTCACTTTCGCTTTCGCGCTCGCAAGGTACCTGGTGGTAGCGCCCGACGCGCCCTCTCTTACGCTCGTCAAGACACCCAGGCCCATCTCCTACTTTGAAGGCATGGCTTTGCGCTCCATCGCTTTGATGGAGAAGCACGGCGTCTGCGTGGATGCTGCAGGGGACGTGTATCAGTGGGGCCTGGGATTCTTCGATAGCTCCTCGCGCGACGTTCTCAAGGGCGTAGTGGGCGCGCTGGACGAGGTGCCGCTGGCTCGTAGGAGGGAAAAGGAAAGGGCAAACGAGCTGGTTCCCAGGTCGAAAGAGACCAGAGCGAGAGCTCCAATCAAGACGTTGCAGGGAAAGGATATCATCAAGGTGACGGCGAATGATGAAAAGGTGTTTGCGCTGAGCAGAAGAGGAGAGGTCTACGTCTTCTCGGCATTGCAGAGCTTGCAGGATGCTCATCGCAAAAAGGTCGCGTGGAGCGCAAACCCGTTCAAACTGTTCAATCTGCGCAGCACGGACGAGATCGATTACGAAAAGTACGAATTCAAACAGATCGATCGCAATGTGCCTCTGCTCAGTCAGAGCGCCGTAGCTTCGCGTGGACAAGGCAGTGCGGCAGCAGCAGCAGCAGCTTCATCGAATTCGACCAAAAGAGCGCCTGTACCCGTACAATCTCTGGGCTTTTGCCTACCCAAAGACGAAAAGATCATCGATATCCGCAATGGCGCTTCTCACTTGTTGGCCCTCTCCTCGCACGGCAGGGTGTTTGTGAGCAGCACAGACGGAGCGGGCAACGAGTATGGACAGTGCGGAACGACGCGGTTTTGGATCGGAAAGAGGTCGCACGCGCTTGGACAGAGGGGCTCGACGGAGGAGAAAAAGTTCGAACTTGGTGCGTTTAGGGATCAACAGCCGCAGCAGATTGGAGAGGGAGGAAAGAGCGTGGATCTTTTGGCTCCTCGAGATCCGCATGCTGTGCGCGGTTTACCGGACTGGGCATTGCCGCCGGGTATGGAAGGCTACAGACCACCTCAACCTTTACCTCGCGCACGGAGAAGCGTGATGACGCAAGACGAAGATTTGGAGCATGCTCTTTCCATTCGCTACAACACCACGCTATTCGAACTGCCATCGCTGCGTGGCGTGCCCATCGTAAAGATTGCAGCCGGCTCTCATCACTCCCTAGCCCTCACGGCCAACGGCACTCCGCTGGCTTGGGGAAAGCAGACGCACGCGGCTACAGGACTTGCGGGAGCTTATCTGGGCATGGAAGCCATTCCCACACCCACCGAAGTCAACCTGAGGAAAGCCATTGCCAGCGATTCGACCGACGTCACCACCATCCACATTGAGGCTACGGCGGACAACAGCTTCTTCGTCCTCAGCAGGAGAGTTCCGCCCAGGTGAGTGCGCGCGCGCCCGAGAAAAAGGCCCAGAGGAGGAGACTTGTGTCGCACCGCCAGCGATTCAGTGATTGCCGTGACGTCTCATGGCGTGTACGGCGCGCGCAAGTCCCCCACATCGTCGACGATTGAAATTGACATCTACGGTTTTCTTCCGCTCTCTCTCTCTCTCTCTCCTTTTCACCCCCACGCGCGTCGCCATCTCTTCGGAAACACACTTTCCGTCAAAAACAGCAAATCTACACCCCTCTCCACCTCTTCCTCTCGTCAGGCAGAGAGGATAGAAGTGATTGCGTGCGGCAAGGGACAATGGGGAACGTTGGGAAATGCCATGTGGCCGCATGTCAGTGCGCCTAGTCGGGTCAAGACTGTCAGTGGACTTTTGGAATGTGAGTGTAGGCTGCAGGCTCATGTCCGCGCGCGCGGGAGAGAGGTGAAGAAGACGCGCTGTGAGCGAGAGCAGAGTTGCTAGGTTCCTGCGCGATGATGAAGATGGAGTGCGATGTTGAAGGAGGCAAAGAGCTGGGTGGATAGGTGCGGTCTCTGGTTGATCATGCTGACGAGATGAGCCTCCCCTTTTTTTGTGCTTCGCCCTTTTGAAATGCCTCGCGCCAACAGATTCGGAATTCTCGGGACAGACGCATGCTGTACCTATTCATCATGTGAGTCTTTGTCGTTGGCGCCACGCCACGCCGAGCCGAGCCGACGGGCAAGTCTTTTGCGTTCGTTTAGCTTTGCACTGACACGAACTCTCCTTTCGACTCTCCTTTCGATTCGCGCAGATTGCCGCCGGCGCGCCAGGGCACGTAGCCCTGGTACTCGACACGGTAGACTCTGGCGTCTCCTCTTCCTCTTCCTCTAATTCCGGCAGCGTTCCCACGCACACGGCATTCGGAAGGGACGTGATGGTGTGGGGACACAATTCCGCCTTTCAGTTGGGCACGGGAAGGAGAAACAATCTGAACGTGCCGGCGCATCTGCATCCTTTGCCTACGAGACCTGTCTTGCCGGCGGCGGCGCAGGAACAGCAAGCATCGGGATGGAGGGGTGCGGGAGCAAAGGAAAAGGAGAGGAAGAGGTTGGCGGAGGAGGATGTGAATAGCGGAGCGTTGACGCATATGCCTGTGAGTTGCGCGTGTGGTGGAGATGCTCGCTCGAGCTGTGTGCGGCTACGAGCATGACGAGGGGGCGCAATAAGCTCATGCGATTGTTGGGAAATTTCCTCTCTCCCCCCCCCCCCTTGGGCCCCCATCGCAACGCAGCATAATCGTCTGCAGCTATCCTCGACAACGAAGACTTCTTCGCGCGTAGGCAACGTGTCCAACGTGGACTTGGACCCGGACGCGTGGACGCTGCGAGATGGCGAATCGTCGCCGCGATTGCGAGAAGAGGCGTCGGAGGGGAATGTGTCTGGTACGTCGCAGGTGGAGAAGACTTGCAATGCAGAGGAGAAGCGAAGGAAGGAGAAGCAAAAGGTGAAGAGGAATGTGCTGGTGGAAGAGGCCATCACGGCGGGCGATACGTGCATGGCGGTGTATTGGAAAGCTCAACCTTGAGTGGGCGTGCGTGTGGGAGGGGCAAGAAAATTTTTTCTTCTTGTCTCCGTACATCGGATGGCGAGCTTGGGGAGTCGCGGGGGAAAGACGGATTTCAAAGCTTGCCCCTTCACAAGTTCCCCTTTTGACGCTTCTTTGTTCATAGAGCCGAGCACGTCGTAAAGTGCCGAGAGCATCGCAAAGCAGCGAGCGGAAAAATTTCATGCCCCCCCGCGCAACGCATTGCACGTGTTCTTATAGATCTATACGCCCCGCTCCGCCCCCGTCATTCGCGTGAGCATGAGTTGGACGTGAGGAGGGGGGCGCGGCACGAAAGCGCTCAGTTTGCCGTCTAGGAGCCAAGCTGAGTAGACGTTGTCGTGCTGCTCAAGAGTTCGGCAGGAAGAATGTGCGCGCGGAGGGAGAGAAGGGGGGATTGATCGAGATGTGGGAGGTTTCCTGCGATTTCGGGAGTGGGGGGAATGCATGGATGCACGCTTTTGTGGGCGATTTGGAGGGGGGTAATGTACGACTTGGCCCAGATTGCTGGCCTTTGGCCCCCCTCCCGGGGCTGTGATCACGTTCGAGATGGAAAACATTGCTCAAGACCTTTCCCGATCAAGGTTCGAGTTGCGGTCTTCGTTTGGGGCCACTTTGAAGGGGGAAGGAAGTCGAAGGCTGGAGGTTTCTGAAAGCAGGGGCAAGGAAGCGTAAAGTTCTCCTTCACGAGCGAAGAGAAAGGGGGTCCCCTCGTCAAGATTCCCTGCCCCGCACATCTGGTAGGAAAATCCGTACACGATTCCCTGCCCCGCATTCCTCTTTCTTCTCTAGCGTCGCACCTTCCCACAGGAAATTCTGCTCTTCAAGAACGGTCAGTACAAACCCCGCGTTGCCCTTCGTTGCCAAAATTCGCGCACCGATCAGCATGCAGCGCTCCGGCGCGGATCAAAGCTTCGCAAAGGTGCAATCCACTGCAGCGCTTCGCCCGAGCTGCAACAATCACAAGTGTCGAGCTTCTTGCATTCGAAGTCGAAGAAAGCTAGCGAAAGTGAATCAGAAGGGAATAGGAAGCTCCGAAGACGAAGACCCCTCCCCTCCACTCCCCCATCCAAGCCGCTCGACCGACCGGCACGTGAAGAAAAAAAAGGCCCCCTCGCCCCGACACCCTTGGTCTTCCGTCCCGCCCAGCGATAAAGATGTAGGCTTTGCCCACCAAACCTCTATCTACACGTAACGCGCCCCCTCCTTCGTACCAAGTCGCGCATCCCCTCTCCAAACACTCTGCGAACACGGACCCCCCCACTCCGTCGCTGCAAATCAAACTCCAGCCCAGCCAATCCTTCAAGCCCCCATCTCTCTCGCATCCCCCCTCCCCACCCCCCGCACGAAGCGCAGCAGGGGTGCCCGCACGAACAAAAAGTTTCCGGCACAAATAAATGGTTCAAGTGGGGGTTCAATGCAGATTCATTCGCACATCTGCCGGCTGGGGCCGTCTTTGTTTGTACCCAAGGGGCGCGCAGGCGCGCATTTTATCTTGCTTTCTACATCTGGACTTTTGCATCTCGCACTCTTCAGCACTCGGCGAACAGGAAGGTGACGGTGAGAGGGGAGAGGGGGGGGGGGAAGATTTGCACATGCGCAGAAAAAGTTGCGCGTGGAGGTTTTGCTCCATCTTGGGAAAAGGGCCCCCCCCCCCCCCTCCCCCCATCTGGTCCCCTCCTTTCGTTCGCGATGCACGAATTTGGCCGAGAGAGATTGCGCGAATTGAAATTGGGCCCAGCCCGGTCCGTGACTTGTTGTCAAAGAGATTCGACGCAGTCAAGCCCTCTTGGTGAATATCTGCAATCGTAGGCCTGCCTTCTTCTTTGCCGAGGTGACGGCGCAATCGAAGGGGAGAAACAGAATGCATGTTCCCATCTGATCCCAGAGGCACCTGCACCTTCCCAACCAGACCTGCTCGCCTCACCTACCGCTCAAATACCCCCAGCCCATGTTACTCTTCCTCATCGCTCTCCGTCTCAAACTCCTGCTCCTCCTCCTCCCCGGCTTCATCCTGCACGGTGGCCTGCTTCCTCAGTTGCGCAATATCAAAACGGGGACCATCTCCATTGGGATAGATGAAAGTCGTGCCTGCACCGTGCAGCCTGATGCCGGCAGCGCGCAGCATGGCATCTGCTTGGGCCCTGTATTCCGGAGTCGAATCGGCGTCTACCTGTAGAGGTTGCGACGCTGACGAGGTCGAGCCGGATGCACGTGCCTGTGCCGGTGCAGATCTGGACGTAGATGCAGGTGTAGACGCCTTGGCCGGTGCGGACGTCGAAGCGGACGTTGATCCAGGTCGAAAAGCGCCCGATCCAAACGTACCAGATCCGAACTGAAAGACCTCCTTGTTCTTGCCCTTTCCTTTATTCTTATCCAAAGACGCGCTCGCTAAAGGCGGCGAAGGGTCAATGGGCGATGCGCTTTTCACCTTCGTGCTCTTTTTCTCCTTTGCTGCCGTTGCACTCGCACTCGCACTCGCAGTCGCAGCCGCAACGTCCGAGACCGATTGCGACGCAGAGGCGGAACCGGAAGCAGCGGCGGAAGCGAGAAACTTGATGAGGGCTTTCCTAGCGTCCGAATTTCCAAAGGGTCCCAAGACGATGGTCTGAACCTTGTACGTCGGTTTCTCTTTTGCCTTTTGAAAAGCTTTCTGTCCAGCTGCGCCGCCACTCTTCGCTCCAGACTTGTGCTTTGCTGACTTGGCGGCACCAGAGCTGGAGCGGTTGGATGAGCGATGCGCATGTGGCGCTGCAAGACCGGCAGCGTTGTGCGTCGAGCTAGCCGATGCGCTAGCCGTACCATTGTTGGAGCTGAATGGTCCATTGGCGTGACCTTGACCCGCAGCACTTGGGTCGAGGCCAAAGAGCCTCACGGCAGCCTGTCTCGCTTCCTCCTCGAATCGAGCACCTTGACTCCTTTGATGTCCGCAAAGATCGCATCGCTGCTCGGTCAATGGCAGCGGGGCAAAGCAGCCCATGCAAGGTTGCAGCAACGTCGAGCCGCACACTGTGCAGTAGATGGCATCGACATCGACCGTCGGTGGGGCATCCTCGCGACAATACATGCAGGCTCGTAGAAGGGCGGGATTAGCCGTTTGCGCGGGAGGATGGCTTGCGCCGTTTTCGAGTCCCGCCGCAACTCCAGCTCCAGCTCCAGCTGGACCTGCACCGCCATGTCCATTCCTTCCGCCCATTTCTGTGCCCGAATCTTCTTCCTCTTCCGACTCTTGCCCGTCGGGTGGCGCGAACGGAACACCAACAATTGTAGCCCTGCAGTGAGAACAATCGCAAAAGTTGACGTCGCCTCCTGCTGCGAGTCGCGTCGGACCATGCTCGACCTTTTTGTGCTTGTCGCCGGGTCTGGGAGGCAAGGTTTGAATGATTCCTGACCTCAGATAACTGATGAGCGCAAAGAGCAGAGCCTTGATGAGCTTCTTCGAGCGTGATTGCGAGACGCTCGGCTCGCATGCCTTTTCGACGAGACTGGTGCAGAGCGCGCTCAGATGGGCGTCGGTGCTGCACAGCTCCGTGATGCTCTACACAGAGACAAGCGCATGGTCAGCGAGGGCGCAGACGTAGAAAGCCAGAGCGAGCACGAGAGGTAGCCAATCGCGCCAAGACTGACCTCGAGCATGCTTGTGATCAGTGCTTCCGTCACATCGTCGTGCGCGGTGATGCTAGGATCAGCCATGGCCTCTTTGACAAAGGACAGGTCCTTTGGCAGTTGTTTCCTGCACTCTGCCAGCGCAGCTTCTCTCAGCTGCACCATTTCCAGCTATCAGAGGGGATGTTTGTCAGACTCGCGCTCGCGCGTTCAGACGAGGTGCTGCAGCTCACGCGATCCGCCAATTCGTACAGAGCTACGAGAGCTGGTGCTTGAAGCGACCTGACAGTCAGAGCAGCATCTCGATGATACTGCAATGCGAGCGAGACGGACACTCTCAGCTTCGCCTCTCGACTCGCTGTACGCCATTTGGGCATGGCGAAGGGCCTAGCTGTGCTGCGCGACTCACGATGAAAGCAACGACGGACTTGAGGCTATCGTAATCGGTGTCCAATTCCACTTTCAAAGCGGACTTGTCCTATGGTCACAGACGAGGCACGATGCAAACCATTCAGCACTCCTTGTGCCTCGCCGCTTATCCGAACGCTCACCTTCTACTCACCTGCTTCACATCTCCCAAAGTCTTGGCTTCCTGCCACTCGCTCTCCTTTCCCAAGCTGCTCTTAAAGTGGGAGAACTAGACGAGGATCATGCTGTGCACCGCGATGCTCCTAGGTGTCGGCGCCGTGCCCATGGCGGTGCTAGAAGTCCTCTTTGCTTCTTTTGCGCGGGCATAAGCCGTACTAGGTGGAGCAGGAGCCTTGGTGCTGCTAAGGAAACCCTTTGAGAACAGTCCAGCTTTCGCAGCTGCGCTCGTCGCTTCGACGCGCGGGGATGCAGCAGCAGCGGGAGCGGCAGCAGACGAGTGATCCGAGTCGAAGCCGTCATCTAGCAGTGCCACCAGTTCCACATCCGCTGCTGGCCATGCCGCCATCTGCAACTTGTTCAGTATTCGATCTTTTTCGCTCTGCTGATGGCCCAACATCATGGAGAGGCCGTCTAGTGGGACTGACGCCGAGTTGCCGCCGCCGCCGCCGCCGCCGCCGCTAGGATGGGAGGACATGTTGGAGGTGGAGTGGGCGCTGGAAGGGGGAGGGAGAATGAGATATGGGTGTGTGGTTGTGAGGGTGACGCTGGCTATAGCCCTGACGCGAGCGGGGTGAGCTCGGCAGAAGATCGCGTGCCTAATGGAGGTGGAGGATGAGAAGAGGAAGAAATGATCGAGTCAGCAAAGACCGCAAATGTCCACCGCATGCGCTCGTGACTCGTGACTCGTGACTGCGATGGCTTGATTCCCGCTCAAGATCAAGAACTGCAAGCTCTGCAACCGAGTGCAGTCGAGGCACGAGTGCAAGAGATGTGTGCATCTAGATGATATCATGCTGCTGCTGCCCATGCGACGCACCACCACTCTTCGCTATACGCCCATGTAGGATCGCGGTAGCGCAGACTCGTGACCACTACTGTCGTTCGAAATGATTGCTTGATCCTCGATTGTACTCGAGCTTGCTTGCTTCATTGCTTGCTCACGAGTCGCTGTTATGAGTTCGACTTCAACGACTGCTCTTAATTGTGTCTGTCCCATACGCAGCTGCGCCCCTTTTGTGAGCGCATATGCGCAGCCTACAGCAGCCATCTCGCTGGCGCTGCTCCCCCATCAGAATGTCCAATCTAACGCCCAACTCGCGCCCACAACAGCCCCACTTTGACTCACGAGAGGTGCAATTTGTTGTCGAGGTATGAATAGATGATAGATGAGTGGCGCACATCGAGCCTACGCCGTGCGTGCGATGCCAGAGGTCGTCATTCAGATGATTCTTGATTGTCGTGTGACAAACTTTGACTGGTGCACTCACTCGTCCGTATGAAATCATGCAAGAATGCGGGGCCTATCAAGCGGAGGCTGCACGTGCGCCGCACCCGCGGTCCACTGGGGCGCTCGCTAGCTTGTACCACACGCCTTAGCTACATGGCTCAAAGCACGCTGCAATCGCGCAACAAATCCGTGACCTTGGCGCTCGCGCTCGCGCTCGGGCCAGCAAGCTGCTGTATCCGCTCGCTCGTACGACAAGAGCATGACCTGCACGTGCACGTGCACGTGACGCGACATTTCCCCCCCAGCCCCCATGCAGCTTTCTTTTTGCCCCCCTTTGCCCGCGCCTATCAAAATCTCGTTCATCACAAGCTTGCCACCCTCGAAAGTCTTGCAGAAAAGGGAATGGGGGGGCGCGTAACCCTCATCTCGCCTGTCTGCGCGGAGAATACGAACTCGCAACAAGACGATCAGCGCACGAAGGAGGGCGGGGCGAGTCCGGTCCGGCTGCTTGCGCTGGTGGGTCGATCTTGTGTGCGGACTTGACCGCAGTGAATGATATGGGGGTGGTGGGATGGATGATGGGGTTTCGCAACGCGCAGGAAAGCCTCCACTCCGTGATTCTCCGTCGGCCTGTCATCTTGCGCTCCATCGCATGTGAGGCTTGAGTGGGGAAAGAAATCTTGAATCCCCAGCAAATCGAATCACGTGAGTGTTTTAACGATGTGAAGATCAAATTTGGTAGAGTCAAGTCATGGTATATATGATGGAGTCTTGAGTTTGAGCAAGAGCCGTGGGTATTTGGCATGTCTCATGAGGCGCGAGTCACCAGTGTGTCCAACCGATGGCCCGCATCGAATCACCATTTGAATTTGACAGCATTCGTGATCACTCCCACCATTCTGATTGCCATCACCCGACCGACCGACCGACACGTTACAGTACACCTTATGCATCTTTGCCCCTGCAGCAGTCGAAAGTGCGCATGCGCATGGGAAGCGGCAGTTCGAGTCTTTGAGTGTCAGTGTCGCACGATGCAGCTATATAGGGGCCACTCTGACTGGTGCAGTGCGGCGAGTTATAGAGCCGCGAGTGATGAGCAATCGCGCGCGCGCGGTACTCAGCTGTGACCACGCCAACACCGCACACACACACACACACACACACACACACACACACACACACACACACACATACATCAGCATGCAAGGACGCGCGCGCAATGTGACGCGGTGCGGTGCGGTCGCCGCGCGTCTTGATTTCTCACCAGCATGCCCACTCGATCGTGAACTCTACGACGCTACCGCAAGCGGCCGGGTGGGCTCGTAGCGTCAGACCTGCTGCCACGACATGACGCACTCGTGGCCCTTCATTGGGCGACTTCCATTCAATTCCAGTCCTTGACTACATTCAAGACGGAAGCAACGTGCTCGCGTTCCAAAAGTATCCCATGCAATTTGGTAAGCCATCTCGGCCGGCGCACAAGGTGGAGGGGCGGGGGCAAGAGATGCGATCCTTTGCACCTTCAATAGTTGGACATGAGCCATGCGAATGGATGGTGTGTGGAGGTCAATTCATTTGTCAATTGCTGCCACGGGCCCACGGGTGCTTTGCGGCTGCTGCTGCATGCGGCCGGCGTATCATCGTACAGCACAGCATCGATGCGGGATCTACACGATGCATGCATGCTGCGCGCGCGAGGGGCAGCTTGTAGCAGATTTCAGTCGGCAAGTGCAGCAAGCCGCCGAGTAGTCACGGGTGCGTCCGTTCGCGTACTGTGCAGTCAAACAGTCTCCGAGAGTCGCGAGTATGTTGTGCTGCTTGGCCGTCAGGCTTGTCGGCGGTACGCTAGCGTGCACACCCCAGTCGCGAGTCATTTGCCTGCAGTAGCAACCCCCCAATCAGCAGGCAATTTCGTCATACTCAACGTGCAGTACCGTAGCTTACGGTACGGTACGGTACGGTAACATTACCAGCCGAGCTCAGAAGGGCCGGCCGCAAGCACCGCTCGCTCCACCTGCTTGCAGTTCGGGCTCGTGCTCGTGCTCGTGCTCGTGCTCCTGCTCCTGCTCCTGCTCGTGCTCCTGCTCCTGCTCGTGCTCAGGCTCAGTCTCAATCTCCATCCCGTTTGGCCCCTCCGCGCGCGGCAATCCGTCCGGGCAGCCATCTGCGGATTTTCCCAAGCAGTGATAGAGCGAAAGAGTGAGACATCGGCACGGCATCTTGAATCTGCGTCCGCGCCCGCGCGTCCTCTTTCCAAGGTTTCTCCGCCCTGCTTACCTAGCTATACAGACGCGGACGGCAGCAAGCATGCATGCACCTGCGGCGAATAGGCCAGACTCACACTGCAGATCGATCGGCGCTCCGTCTGGTGTCTATGCCAGACATGCTGGTCTGATACTTTTGATTCCATGCTTGTGCGTGCGAGTCCGTCCAGTCCAGCTGCATGCATTCATGCATGCATGCAGGCAGTCTCGAGTTCTCAAGCTCCGTCAGGCCGGGGCCTCAATCTTGTGCTAGCGAAGGCCGGCAGAGGTGGAGGGGGGAGACAGAGGAAGGAAGTGGTGTTGCAGCCTGCGGCTCCACTCACGCTAACGGCTTTGCAGCTCCACCATCCAGCACCCCGGTGCGAGCCAGAGCTATAATACGGCGAACCACGTACCTCCTATTCAGCCCCTCACCACACACCCACGCAACATCTCATCCTCACATCCTACTCGCGCTCACATTCGACCACGACGACGACGACGTTGGACCATTTTCGCGGATCGACCATGCTTGCTCGCTCACTCGCACTCTTGCCATTGGCATGGACGCTCGGTGCCTCGCTTGCCAATGCTGCGGTCATCGCTCCTGGCCCAGGCAATGGAACCTCTTCGGGCGAGGCCATCTCGACTCCAGAGCTCACTGACGCCTCCAAAGCGGGACCCTTGGGCCTGGACAACATCAATTGCCAGGACCTCACCATCAACGCCAAGATCAGCGCTCAGAATGGTGAGTAAGGGAGAGGAGAGGATCACGGTGGGGAAAATGTCGATGTGGATTACATCGCCAAGTAAAATCCTGATCCCCAAGCCATCTCATCTCGCACTCTCTCTGCCGCCCTCTCCGTCCCCCCTTTTCCCCCCACCCGCCTCTTCATCTTCCTCAGTCGACTTTATCAACGTCGATGACAATTACAGCAACGCTTCCTACGTGACCGACACTCTGCTCGCCTTCACGCAGCGTCAAAAGAATTGGACAGCAGCGCACATGCCCGGCACCAAGCACACCAACAACGCCACGTACCGCATCGCTGCGCACTACTGCGAGCCCAAGCGAGGCGCCGTTGCGAATTCATCTCTGCTCGTCGCCACGCACGGCATCGGATTCGATTCTTCATACTGGAACTACTCTTACAAGAAATCCTACTCCTTTGTTCGTCATGCCGCCTCTCACGGATACTCCAGCTTGATCTACGATCGACTGGGCACTGGCGAATCAGAGACGCCATCCAAAGGAGGTTTCAGCACCGTGCAAGCTCCTACCGAGGTAGCCATCCTGACACAGATCCTGACGCAAGCCAAGAACAGCAACAATATTGGCGGTAAGAAGCATGCCCGAATCGTCGCTATTGGTCACTCGTACGGATCTGCCCAGAGTCAAGCGGTGACGGCTACCAGTCCGGATCTGATCGACGGTGTCGTCTTGACCGGATTCTCCACCGCCACGCAATTCACCGCCACCTTTATCCTGAGCGGAGCTTACACGCAAGCAAACAGCGTGAGCGAGCTTAGTCTCAAGGACAAGTCGGGCATCTGGTTGGCATCTGCCAGCAAAGTGTCCAACGTGCAAAACTTCATCGACCCGTCCAATGCCGATTCCGCATCGATCGATTTGGCTCGCAAGACGGAGCAACCCGTAACGCTGGGAGCCTACGCTTCCCTAGCCTCCATCGCCGCGCCCGCTTCAAACTTTACAAAACCCGTCTTGGTGCTCAATGGCGATCACGATCTCCCCTTTTGCGGCGCAGATTGTCAATCGCAATCCCCCGCCATTCCAGACGGCGTAAAGATGCTCTACCCTGCCGCTTCCAACTTTACCAGCGAAATCATTCCCCTCACAGGACACGGCATCGTCCCTCACCGCACTGGCCCAGAGAGCCACGAGATCACGCTTCAGTGGATCATCGATAACAAGCTTTGAAGCGCCCTCGCCCGCCAGGCCCCCCTCGTCTTTTCTTACTCATACGACTCGTTTCTAATGCATGCTCCATCGGACGTTCCTCCTGCGCTTGCCTTTGCTTCGCTGCATCCTCACCGCGCTCTTTCAGCTCAGCGACAGATCTCAGTGCCGCGTTGTGCCGCGTACCGCGGATCAGATCTTCGCCCCGCATTCCGTCGAGTATCAGTATCAGAACACACCACGCAGCTCGCAAGTCTGGGCGGCGGGGGCGAGAAAAACAAAAGAGGTACATTTTCGTTCTTTTGCATGTCTGAGGAGCATCGAGAGGCCTGCGCCAATGCGGGCGCGCGCCCGCAGCGAAAAGCCTGGCAAGCAAGTGAACAACCTGGACGGGACTCGCTTCATTTCCGAAGCATCGCTCTGAACTGATCTTGACTTTTCGCCTTTGCTTGCGAGGGCGCACTCTCGGGTGCAGACTGGGGTGCAGACGCGGGCGCATCCACGCTCATCTCATCTTCCGGCTTGACGCCGCTGCCCTGTTTGGTCTGCGCAATCGCGCTCGTAGCCCTCGCGCTCGCACTCGCTGCACCAAAGCCGACGCCACCTCGGCCCCTGCCGCGAGCTCTGCTAGCGAATCCCAGAGCTGCTCGCGGTGCAAAGGATTGCGGCGCGTCGTTGTCCGACGGCAAAGGTCGGGCTGCTGCTGACAAGGGCGATTTGCCAGACGTCTGCGTTGTTCCGAAATCAGCTCCAAGCGGCACAAATTCGATCGGTCGTCCATCGTAGAGCAATGTGCTTCGCAGAGCAAGCAAGCCCGCAGTCTGAAAAGCAAGGCGCAGAGAGTGAGTGCGAAAGGGCAATCGAGCAGCGCATGTGGTGATCGACCAAACGCACCTGCGCATCTTTGCAAACGACGACGGCCTTCCCTTGACCTTCCGCTCCGGGAGTCCAATTCACCTTGCTGATGCTTCCCACTCCACCCGCAACATTCTCGAACAATTGTTGAATCTTGGCCTCTTGCGCGTCAAAGGGTAGGTGTCGCACCTTGACAGCAGCAGCGCACTGTTCAGGCGTGAGCCTCTTGGAAAGCGCATTGCCCGTCGATGATGCAGCAGCTTTGGCCAAAGAGACTTGAATGGGTTTGCCATTGATGCGCGCGTTTGGCTGACCATCTTCCTCCAGCTTTGAAAGGACAGCGACGGCTTGATGAGCATCCAAGACGTTCTTGTAATCCACAAAAGCCAAGCCTTTTGGTTTGCCATTTGGACCTCTGAGCACCCGCACGCCCGTCACTTCTCCGAACGGCGTGAACAGCGCCTTGACTTGCTCATCGGTAGCGGCGCGAGGAAGTCCGGTGATGAAGAGCTCGCACTTGTCGGCGTGGGCATCTGTACGTTGCGCTTTACGTGCGGGGTCCGATATCAAGACTTGTACCGCTGATGATTGGTTCGAATTCAACGGCTGATCGTTGAGTGCAAGGGCAGCTTCGGCGTGTTCCTGTCCATGTTGGGCAAACGCATCTCAGCACGGGCCAACACGGTCAGCCGAACGCGCAAACAACTCACCGGCACAGCGTAGACGACGTAACAAAATCTCCGACTGGCCTTGATGCGTCTACTGGGCCATCTGACCTCGTAGATTTCTCCAAACTTTTCAAATGCAGCCTTGATCTGCTCATCCGTCGTTCCCTCTTCAAAGTTTGTGACAAAGAGCGTGCACTCCCATCCAAGACTGACCCTGACCTCGTTCGATCCTATCAGCTTTCGATCCCTCGTGCGGGCTGCAGGCACGCTCGAACGATCGACAAACTCGACCATGGCCGCAGCGCTCGTCGGTCCGCCCGATGTGCCGGATGGAAGAGGTCGAGGAAGAAGATCAGGATCGAGCAATTCGCCGCACGTGCGGAAAAAGCGAACCAGCTCTGCGGACGTGCAATCCAGGGGCAAGTTGGAGACGATGACTGAACTGTTCTCTCGATCTCTGTCAACGTGCGCATGGAGTGTGAGCCTCGATTCGGGAAGTCCGCTCGTTCAGCCACACTCACCGACCGCTCGAAGTGGACTGAGGCGCACCAGGTCTGGAAGGCGAGCCAGTTGTCGCCTGTCCAGCCACGCTCGAAGGACCAGCCGCATCCACATCCATCCCCGCATCCTCATCCTCCGCTTTGCGTTTTCGGCCTGCGCCATCCGCATGGCTATTAGCGTCGGGTGCCGCAGCATCGTCGTGCCCTTGCACGTTGTGCGTCGAGGTCTGCGCATAGTTTGTGCCCTGATATTGCGCGTATTCGTACTGGAAAACAAGCGCACGCAGCGGTTCAGTCCCACGCCGATTCAGATCGCAGCCATAGAGCAAATCGCCACTCACCCAAGCTTTCCACACCACTTCCCTCTGCTGTCTGATTCTCGCCTTGACCACCTCGATCTCCTGCACCGTTCCAAAGCACATTTCAAATCTATTCCACTCCTCCATCAACTCCAATTTTTCCTTTTCCCTCTCTCCTCCAAAGTTCCTAGCGAGGGCCATCTTGTACGTGCTTCTAGCCTTCTTGACGTCTCCCACGCGAGCTCTGCACTCGGCAGCGTGGGACCAAACGGCGACATTGTTGGGTTGATCGAGCAAGGCGTCTTGCCAAATCTCTTCCGCTAGCGTTTCCGTGCCTTGTCCAATCAGACAATACTCCGTAGCGAGCCTTTCCAGTCTCAATGCTTCGTCCTTTTCCAGCAAGCCTGCTGCTCCCCCTCCTTCCTGCGCTTGTTGTTGTTGACGAATGATGGCGTGGTAGTACATCAAGAGGCCGTAGAGGATGGACCAACGATCGGTATCGCTCCACAGCATACTCTTCGCCAAAGCCTCTTGCACCGTCGTTCCCCTCTCGCTAGCCAGATCCACCGCCAAAAGCTCTCTCTCCGCATCCATCCTGCCCAGTACGAGCTGAATCGTAGCTTCTATGCCACCTTCCCCTTCTCCCTTTGCAGCTGCATTGCCCGGCACGGACAAGAACAAGCCGCCATCAAAGACTTTGGAGAATGTCTCTTCCACCTGCACGCGCGATCGCGAGGAGGCAAACTGACGAAGCTGGATTGCCCAAAGCTCGCCCGAGAGCGGAAGAGCCTTGACCGCCCGAGCTATCAACGATTGAGCCAGTAGTGGGGAGATTCTCGGTCGACTCTGCAGGCATCGCGCGTCGTGTGACGAGAAATCCAACGCGAATCAGACTCCACCGTGCACACCTCTGACGCAAAAAGGAAAAAGACTCACCAAGGTCCAAACCGCTTCGACCCAGCATTTCTTGGCCTTGTTCCACATTTCCGCCCTGAGCGCATCCAACAATCGTCTGACATTTTTATTCTCACTCTTTCCCAGCACCCTTCCCAAGTTCTTGTTCCAGCTCTCCCACTGCGGCGTCGGCGGCTGCTCGTTGAACACGCCGCTGAGCGCGGGCGGCAAGCCCAGCACGATCAGGGATCTCTCTAGCGTTGCATGCAGCGTCTCCGTAGGCACTTGAAGCACCGTCATTTCCCGCCCTGCCGCTGCAGCTGCTTGCTTCTCCTTTTTGGATTTGGATCCGGAAGATTGCGTGTTTGCCGAGCTGTTGATCTTGTCGAGCCTGTCCAGATAAGCCTTCCAGCCTTGCGCCACACCTTCTAGCGCATTCGCTAATTCCTGAATGGCGCTCTGGATGCGATTTGCGTCCGCCTTCTTTCCTAGCGTCGAGGCGTCGGGAACGTTTCGAGGTAGCTGCAAGACGACTCGCAGAGCTGCCCAATACCTCTCCTCGACCGAGGTGATGGTGCGTTCCAGAGGCTCCAGCTCGACGAGTAGCGCTTTGGCGCGGGACATTTGCGATGTGGCTTCGGACAGAGATGCCTCGTAGGCGTTCGCTGGCATGTAGAGCGACACGAAGCGCGTGTAGGATGCGAAAGTCTGGTCCAGATCTGGGAAAGGGGTTGTGCAGCGTGAGGGCGCAGGTGAGCTGCTAGGCGAGCATACGAGCTTGCGCGCATCTGGCAGGCGCCTTGCTCCTCCCTTTCCCCCCTTTCCAATCCGCATTGGTGCCGCTTTGCCGTCACGCGATGCTCACCCGTATGGCAGCTCCTCAACCTTGTCAAGTAAATTTTCTGTACGCTCTCCAGTCTCTCCTGCGAGTACGTCACCTGCGCATATTGCGTAGCCGCTTTAAGCGCTCGACGACGACGATCTCGATCGATGCGCAACTGGAACTTTTCGAATGTGAGGTAGAAGTTGAAGAGGGTTTGGGACTGTGGCGGCAAGGCGAACACGCGCGAGTGGTGCGCGAGTATGTTGAAGGTGAAAAGCGGTCACTTCGAATCAGCGTGCGGGCTCCGCTGCTGCTGAAGAGACCCAGAGCGTCGCAATATTTACGATCTCGAGGCGCACAGAGATGAAGTGTGGCTCTGCACTTGCTGTGATGACTCGTCATCGACGCACGCTCAGAAACACTTTCCCTCGTGACTGCACCGCAGTCCACATCAAATCGCCCTTCGCACCACTCACATGCTTGACGTCTGCACTAGCCCTGCTCCACATTTCCCTCAAAAACTCCCTCGTGCTGTCTTCTGAGAGTAGATGCTTGTACTCCTGGTGCGCCTGATTGTCGCCGTCATCCTGCTGCTGATCATAACGCGAGGCGTCGAGAGAGACGTACAATTTGTCAGTCACTGCACGCAGGGTGCTGCTCGAGTAAGCGCCGGATGGATGATAGGTGACGTCCGATCGGGCTGCGGTCCAGCGCGCGATGGGATCCGTCTCGATGGGCAGGCATCGCGCGTGGTCGGTCGCAGGCACGCGCGCACGCCCATAAAGCCTCATCAACGCATGCTCGATGTAATCTTGCGCGTTGCTGTGCTCTTCCTCCTCCTCTTCCTCTTCCTCGCCGGGATCCTCGAAAAAGTCCAAATGACGACCGGAATCTTCCACATTACCTGCGAGCACCAAGCTAGACGCTGCCACAAATGCAGGCGCAAAGAGAGCGCTTCCGCCCGAGTTGAACGTGGCTTGGCTGTGCGTCGAGAGGACATCTTTCCAGCCTTGAATAGTCTCGGTATCGGAAGTGCGCAAGAAGTGATGCACAGAGAGAGCATTGTGGAGTTGAGTGAGCGAATGAGAGAGCGTGTGCGATGAGCGTGCTTGATTGAGTTGATGCGAGAGCTTTTGCAGCGCTTCCTCGGCGTATGGAGCGCTTTGCAGCTCAGCGAGTGTGGCGTGTAGGAGTCGATGGTGATCGATCGGCGACAGCGTGTCGAGTGCGGTGGCAGGTGCGCTATTCGCAAGCGCTGTCTCCTCCTCCTCCTTCTGCTCTCCGTCACCCACCATGCTGCTCGCATCATCCATCGCGGCATCCACCTCTCCCACTTGCTCCTGCATCGTATCCCCCACCCGCTCAAGATCGACCTCTGCTAGATCAGCGCTGATGATGTGCACAGTTGCGCTCGGTGAAGCGGTGAGCGATGCGATGCGATGCGCGTCTACCGATGGGTGTACTTTGTGTAGGCGGGGCGAGACGGGGATGAGGACGTTGCCTACTGGAGGATGACAGTCTGAATGCTCTTCCGTCCGAATCGCCCCCCACTCACCTCTTTGCAAACAGCAGCCAAGCCAACGCATCAACGCATCGCCCATCTGTGCATGTGAATTCAAGATTCGCGCGTTCGATGCATGCGCTTCAGCGACGCGCCCGCGCGACATTACATCACGTGATGCTTTCTGGACTTTGCATGGTCAGCAGGCAACGATGGGCCGCGCGCATAGATTTGGACGCTTGCGCGCGTTTGTGGAGGCTGCTGCAGGCTGCTGTTGCATGTGATCCTGCTGCTGATGGATGATCGCGAATGATGATGAGCATGACGCAGACGTGCGTTTGGGGATACGCGCGCGCGTCTGCTCCGCGTTGCCTTGGGTTAGCATCGCCAAGCGTGCAGGTGAGGGGCAGACACGAGTGCAGAGCAGAGCAGATCGGCAAGGGTTTGCCGGCCGGTGCGTGCTGATCATGGTCAAGTGTGGGGGGTTGGAGAGCGAGGTGAGCATGAGGTGCAGCATCGCAAGAGCAGCGCACGAGCAGCTATTCAGGACTCAGGCCATTCACATTCCACGGCACACGGCTTCCGGTAGTCGTAAGGCTAGTCGCGATGTGACTCTTCTGACTTGCCAATCTCACCCACACATCGACTCCTGACCCGCACTTGCACATCCCCATTTATCATTCAACTCACGACGCTTTGCGCAGACCTCATCATCGCGCTCGTCGCTGGTGAGCGTGAGTGCGGCAAGTCAAGAGGTCGGCAGTCGAGGGTGAGTGCCTTGAGGGGGGGCAACCGAACTGCGCACCCCAAGCTCCATCGCACTCACCACCTGCAATGGCCCCTCCTCTCCCCCATCGCAGCACACGCGAGGCTCCATCTCCCCGTCAGCTCCCTCCCCTCCTTCCCCCCATCATGGGCAATCCACTGCCCGTCTCCTTGCCAGAAGAATGCATCAAAGCTCAAAAGGTCGGTAGGCAGCGTCGTGCACCCCACTGCCCAAGTCCGTGCATGTATGCTCATGCTGCTGCCTCCCCCCTCCCAACCCCCCGCAGATCCTGCGCAGGATGGTGGATCCGGTGCATGGCGTGGACGGTGTGGTGCCGCTGAAGGTGCTGGAAAAGGCAAAAGGCTTTGCCATCTTCAGCGTATTCAGGGTTGGATTCCGTGAGTCGCGCCCGCTTCCATATCCTCTGCGTATTGCGCCGGCCCCCGCATCCACGAGGCACACGTACGCGCTGCTCGTCAAGCTGATCCACCAACCCCCGACGCCTCCCTTCCTGGCCCACACATCCCGCTAGTCATGTCCGCTCGAGGAGGTTCCGGCATCGTCATAGCTCGTACAGGTCCCAATTCCTGGTCCGCACCCGCGGCCCTGGCCATCGGAGGTCTGGGTGGAGGTTTCAATGCCGGAGCTGATGTGACGGATTTCCTCATCGTCCTCAACACCGCTCGAGCAGTCAAGGCGTTCATGTCCACCGGATCGCTGCAACTGGGCGGCAATTTGAGCGTGGCCGTCGGACCCGTCGGAAGGAGCGCCGAAGCTGCTGCGGCGGTCAATAGCGAAGGCTCGGCTGCTGCCATGTACTCTTATTCCAGGAGCAAGGGCGTATATGCTGGACTCAGCGTAGAGGGCACCGTGCTGCTCGATCGATCCGATGCCAATTCCAAAGCCTACCATCAGAGCGACTGTTCGGCCAAAAAGGTCCTTAGCGGCAGCGTCGATGTGCCCAGCTGGGCCCTGCCCCTGCACGACACGGTCAAAAAGTTCACAATGACTGGTGGTGCGGACGATGCGCGCTCCGTCAAGGATCACGGAGGCTGGGTAGGGACAACGGGTGCGATAGAGGGCATGTCGGGCGATCCTTATGCGGAAGAGAGAGCAGAGAATGAAAGGAGGAGGAACAACGTGAGCTCCACCAGCAGGGATTGGGATGAGGACGAGAGAGGCGGCGCACACTCCAGGTGGGCCACGGATGAGAGCACCATCGATGTGGACACTGCACGACAGAAGGCGCTAGAAAGGGGAATGAGGGATCTGGATGCCGGCCATCGTCCATACTCACCCAACGCGTACGCTCGATCGCACTCCAGACCGGGCCTTGCCAAACGCTTGGGATCCTTTGGACGCTCTTCATCCCACAACTCCAACGCCTCTCGAGAATACGCTTTCGGAACGTCCAATGGCGCAGCCAGCTTTTCGGGCGGAGCATCAGGCACGCCCAGCAACTACGCGTCCGAATTTGCCGCTGCAAGAACATCTCCCTCCTCTGCCTACCGACCAGCTTCCAGCAGCGGTGGCAGTAGCAGGTTCTCCACCAGTCCCAAGAACGCCTTTTCTTCCAACGTCGGGAATCGCACGAACTTCAAGGGCGAGACGAGCCTCTTGGATGCGCAGAGCGCCAGCGATTCGTACGGCACGGGCGCGGGCACTGGACAAGCTGGACATGCAACCTACCACCTCTCCAACAGAGCTGCGCATACGCGGGGAGCAGGCGGCGGTAGTCTTGGGTTCAAACAGCAATTCAGGAACAGCACGTCGAGCGAGAGCGCGGATGAAGAGCAGCAACGGTCCAGCGCTACTTATTCGACGCATCGACTTTCGCAGAGTCAGAGCGTGGCTACCGCCTCGCAAGGGTCCAAGTGGAACAATGTGGCGACGCATAATCCGTCCCCTTCCCTCAATGCCGACCCGTTCTTTGCTTCTTCGCCTTCGTCGTCTAGAAATCTCGCCAGCCCGTCGGGTCCTTACGCGCTCGATAGGGATGGCAATCGATCCAACAAGTCCTCTTCCAGCAGTAGCGCCTCCGCAGCGGCCAACGGTGCAGGATTCGTCTTTCCCAGATCGGGCGGTGCGGAAGCTTTGGATTCGCCCAGCGGAGCAAGAGCCGGCGCTCAAGGTTGGCGAGACGATTACGGTCTGTCGAGTGCTGATGAGCAACACAATTTCAACGGTTCTTCAAACGGCAGCGGCAATGGGTACGGACACGGATACGGGGAGAAACCGAAAAGACCAGATATGAGGCATCGGAGCAGCTCCTCCGCTTCTCGCTTGTGGAACAGAATCCGAGGAAACAGTCAGGCTACCATTGTCCCGCCTGCGACGACTGGATCGGGATACTTTGAGGAAAAGAAGAGTGCGAGCAGACGGGACTCGACGGATCTGATCAGGTTCGAAGAGGAGAAGACCACGCCGCCCTCTTCTCCCCAGACGAACCCGCCCGTCTCTGCAAACACCGTCGACTCTTTTGCTCATTCTGGCGCCACGAGCAACTTTGCAAGCGGAGCTTTTCCCTCCAGCTCTCGAGCGCACATCGATTCGACCGCCACCACTAGCACCGCGGCGTCTCCAACGCAACAAAGAAGGGTGGTGGCGCTGTACGATTTCGAAGGACAAGAAGCGCAGGATCTGTCCTTCAAGATCGGAGATGTGATCCGGGTGATCAGGGCTACGATGGACAGGCAGGATTGGTGGTTGGGAAGATTGGAGGATGCTAGTGCGGGAGTGCAAGGTCGGAGCGGCGTGGTTGGAAGGTGAGTTTGGGCTGGATGGTGCGCGGAGTGGCAGAATGGCAAAAGGATGGTGGGCACGGTGAAGTTGGTGAATTGCTGGGAGCGTGTGCGAGGTGCGAGGTGTGATGGGTAAGGTTGCGAAGTGCGATGCATGGTGCGGTCAGCACTGGAAGGCAGAAGCCTATACTCGGAGGGGTCAAGCTGGCAAGGCTGAAGTGGACGTGATGCTGGCGAGGAACGTCGATGGGTGAGCTGATTTTCGACTTTTGTCACCATGTCACAGTTTCCCGGCCAACTACACCGAGGATCTCTGATACCGCTCGACTCGTTCGGCGTCCACCGCATGCAAGACCACCACATCGATATCGACACGACCTCGCCTTTGTGTCGCTCATCGATTCCATCGTCGTTCAACGAATACCGCCCGGCGTCATCCGAAGCGCCACTCGTCACGTCTAGATTACCGTACTCTCTGTACATTCACCGGTCAACATCCTCATCGAGCATCCTTGTACATTCACCTTTCGACGTATCCATCGACATCCTTGTACATTCACCTTTCGACGTGTATCAGACATTCGCAACATTTCTGCACCATACGACACTGCACGTCATCCACCTTGCCCGCCTTCATCACGCCTCGAGCGACCGCCAAACGTGCCTCGCGCTCGAATGAGCAAATGCTCGCGCACCCAATCGAAATGCTTCGTGCTCAAAAGTTGGATGTGGACGTGATAGGTGCGCGCTTGTGTGTCGGCAAACATGGGATTCGTGGGTCGCTCGGAAATGACTGGGTTGCGCTTGCTGTGTCTGTGGATGAAGCGCGGCGCTCCTTTGCGACCTGAGAGGAGACGTGGACGCTCGGGGGCTTGTTTGGACGCACGACGAGACGAGCCATCAGCGTTGACAGTGATCAAATGGGCACAGCGTTGCGCCCTGTACGTCTGCGCTGCGCAGAGTTGGAGCTTGATACGGTGTGAGCGTCGATGAGGTGTCGGTGGCTGTGAGGACGTTTTGGAGCTGTTGGGAAAGGATAGCATCGTCGAGCTGTAGGCGGGCCAGGCGAGCGTGCGAATCGCTTCGCTTGCAGGGCCAAAGCGAAGATCTGGAGCTTTGATGGAAATGCGAAACGCGGAAGCTACCGTCGCTGAATCCAGAGATGCGTCTGCGTGCTGAGTTTGGCGTGTGACAGCTGTGTGAAGCTTTTTCTTCTCCTTGTCCCCGGCTCCCTGTGCTCAGCATTGAGTCACGGGACCACAAAACTGCTTTGAGTGATATTGATCATCGTTCGCTGTGGCACATACACTTGCTGTGGCAAAGCTGGTGTTCCATGCTCCCAGTGCCACACACCAACAAACCTTTGCGAAAAGATGGATTGTATCTGGTCGTTGGCAATGTGGCGAATTATGATGGCAGCCGCATTCTCCCAAGATTGCAGCACAAGGAAAAGCGAACGGGTCATCCAAGCCTTCCTCAAGCTTGACGAGTGCGCCTTGACAATTTGGAAAGATGTGTGGAGCTGATGTGGCACACGGTGCTTTGTGTGCAGACAGCACAGTGACGCAGACAGAGGAGCAAACTTGAAGGAGCTCTGCACAGACGAGCCTGCTTGTGTCAACCAATGGACGGGAGGCAGCAAGACATTCAGAGAGCTGCTTTGGAAACCCCTGCTCAGAGAGATTCATCACAGATACGCGTGGCAGGCTTCCCAAAAGAGCATTGCAGTGCAGTAGACAGAGCTTGAGACCCAAAGCAGCAAATGCTTGACAGCATGGTTTCTCCAGACAGGCCATTTGGCTTTTCTTGTGCACAACACAGAGGTGTGCCAATGAATGTTTTTGCTCACCTGCCTCTTGCCAACAATCCTACACCTGCTCTTTTCCCAGTTTCTCCAAAGTCTCCCCTTGCACTCAAGACTTTCATCTGCGTTGAACACAGGATGTCGGAGGAAGCCCCCAGAGCAGTCGGCCCCCCTGAGGGCTTTGATCAGTGGCGCGGGCACACACGTGCATCAACAGCCGCTTCAGCCTCCTACGCCCCCACCACAACGACTTCAGGCAGTCCTCAATCAATGTTTGAAGAGCTTTCTGGGGCAGACGCTTTGCCCGACAGCTTTTATCAGTGGCGCAGACGCGCCCGTGAATCAACTGTGGCGTCCACATCTTGCTTCACTACCACAACTTTTGGTAGCCCGGGCCTAGATGATGAGGTGAGTGAATGCGTGTGGGCAACACATTGCATTTCAGACCATTCCTCACACCGAGTTCAAGACTGATCGGATCCGGATTGGAGCGCGGGGTCGCTTATCTGTAGATGACAAGGGCAGCGAACAAGCCGACAACAATGGCCATGATCAGGCCAACGAGGAGCGCAACAGTCTTGCAAATTGCGTTGACTGCGCGCTCGACATTCTTAAGCTTGATAACAAGCTCGACTTGATTGTCGAATAGCTTCTTGAGGTTGCCCCCAATGTCTGCAACAGTGTCGGACATCTGGTTGAGCTTGCCGTCCGTCACCTCAGCACGCTTGACCAGGGAGACAAGGTTGAGGTCTTGTTCCACGCGACCCACGCGCTGCTTGAGGTTTTCGAGATCCTGATTGTGGTCCTCTGTGGGAGATGCTGTGGCCTGGGTGGGCACAGGCACAATTTGTGATGATCGATCAGTTCTTAGGAAGATGGAGCAGCTGCTGGCAGGAAGTGACTCACCGCAGGTGTGCCGTCAAAGCCAATGGTCTGGCTTTCTGTTGGGGGGCGGGGCGGGGGACAGGGGGAGGGTAGGCCCTTTCAAACTACCAAATTGTGCTTGTTGGAGTGGGGTCAAGCTACTGAACAGATGCAGGGCAGTCTGCAACCCTCTTTGTTGGGACTCTTGTTGGTCCATTCCTTGGGAATGCTGTTGCAAACATGGCAGCCAGGGGACTGACCCTAGGAGACAGATTGGAGCGGGACTTTGGCAGCCACAAGGATGAGATTGCAGACCCTTGATTCGCTGATGGCAGATAGTTAGGAGCTTTCTGGCTGCTGACCCTGTTGAATGGATGCAGAGGCACCTTCTTTGGTCTCACATGTGGCATCCAGCATCTTCTTTGAGGTAGCCAACGCCCTTTTCTTACGCCTCTTTGCTTCTCTGTCCAAGACAGAATGGGACAAAATGGTGAAACCCAGCCCTCCAAGCTAAAGTGCTTTGGTTTGGGCTGCCAGACCAGCAGCTATGCCTGCAAGATAACTCCTTTCTCTGTAGCAAATGCCATCACAAGCGTGCCCACTTGCGCCTGTATGCCAGCTGGGGCATGCTCTTGAGTGGTGAGCCTCAGACGTAGTTAAGAACACACTTGTGCCCAGAGTGCAGGCTGGCGGAGGATGCTCAAGACAGCACGCAGCGTAGCCTGGGTAATGCCTTCTACACTATCAAGACGCTTTCCCATATGACGCTTCAGAACCTCTGCACAAGCAGCGTTGGTACTAATTTGCCCTTTCAGACTTGCAGATTGTGCTTGTTGGAGCTCAGTTGAGCTACTGAGCAGATGAATGGCAGTTTGCATCCCTCTTTGTTGCGACTCTTGTCGATCCATGCCTTGGAACGCTGTCGCAAATACGGCAGCCATGGGACTAAATAACAGAGCCGGATCCGAGTGAGACTTGCGGAAGCCGGATTCGAAGGTGGGCATGTCAGCAGAATCCCAATCAAAGTCAAGCTCAGAGGCACGATCAGACCGCATAATTGGCGAGCGCGAGAGCGTTGCACAGCCATGCATACATGCAGGTGGTCTTTACTCACTCGTACTCTGGTTCGTCCCTGCCAAGGAGTATCATCATCGCGGTGACTGGCTTCGCAAGTAGTGTCGTCCGCCCTACTGATGACTGGATGTATGCAGAGGCACGACTGCAATCTCTGATGCATAGAGCCATCAGATTTGATGCTGGGGAACATCCATCAATTGACCAAAAGACTGAGCGCCCACACGCTGGCTTACAGCTTCTTCCCTTGTTCTCTTGTGGTCC